ACTCAATAATGTATATCCCAGCTCCCCTGTACTCCATTATAGTGATATGACATGTATACGGTAATGTATATCCCAGCTCCCCTGTACTCCATTATAGTGATATGACATGTATACGGTAATGTATATCCCAGCTCCCCTGTACTCCATTATAGTGATGACATGTATACAATGATATGTATACAGTCGCTCCACTTCCTTAAACTGAACCTCTCCAAAACCAACCTCCTAGTCTTCCCCCCAGCCCGCACACCACCCCCCACTGACTTCTCCATCACGTCCAACAATGCCACCATCAGGCCCGCCCCGCAGGCCAGAGTACTTGGTGTCATTATTGACTCCAATCTATCCTTCCAGCCCCAAGTCCAATCACTAACAAACTCATGTAGACTCCACCTCCGCAACATCGCCAAAATACGCACTTTCCTAACCTCAGAAACCACCAACAAGCTCATCCACTCCCTCATCATATCACGACTCGATTACTGCAACTCCCTCCTCACTGGCCTGCCTCGCCACAGGCTATCCCCGCTTCAGTCGATTCTGAAAACGGCAGCCAGACTCATCCCCCTTAAACCGCTCCATTTCCGCCACCCCCCTCTGCCAATCCCTCCACTGGCTTCCGATTGCCCAACAGATCAAATTCAAAATCCTAACGCTGACGTACAAAGCTGTCCATCATACTGCCCGAAACTACATCACCGACCTAATATCCAAGTAACACCCAACACGCACTCTCCGCTCCTCACAAGACCTCCTTCTCTCTAGTTCCCTGGTCTCCTCCTCCCATGCCCGCCTCCAGGAATTCTCCAGGGCGTCACCCATCCTCTGGAACTCCCTACCCCAATCCATCAGACTATCACCTACTCTCCTCCTTTAGGTGCATTCTGAAAACCCACCTCTTCAGGGAAGCTTCCCCCACCCCCTGCTAATTGCTGTCCTCCTCCACTCTTCCTACCACTCCATCCCCCACAGCTATTTCCTCCTGTACGACTATCCCCTCCCTCCTAGATTGTAAGCTCCAAGGAGCAGGGCCCTCGAACCCCTCATGTATTGCATTGTATTGTTATTGGTACTATCGCATGCACTGTCTCCCATTGTAATGTACAGTGCTGAGCAAACTGATGGAGCTTTATAAATACTGTATAATAATAATTACTGTATACATGTCATATCACTATAATGGAGTACAGGGGAGCTGGAATATACATTACTGTGTACAGTTTTATATTTTGGACTATTTATTCTAAAGAAAAATGTAATTTCATAAGCTTTAAAGGGGGCGTGGTTGGGGGCGAACCGGAGGCGGACCTGGGCAAGGTTGGGTGGGGCAACTGGTGGCGAGTAAGTTTTTAGACCGCATAGTAGGTCTGGACTCTAAATTTTAACCCCTGTAGTAGATGACAGACTCAGCAAATAGCATGCAATGGGAAGCTGCAGCAAGCAGAATTTTAGCATGCAAAATAAAAAAACTATAATTTTGCCACTTTATAAAACTCTGATTTGGCCACATCTTAAGTATGCTGTCCAGTTCTGGTCACCAACCATCAGGAAGGATGTGCTGTAAATTGTAAATGGAGAGAGTCCAGATAAGGAAAACAAACCTAATAAGGGGACTGGAGGACCTCAGGTACAAGGAATGACTACAAACATTAAACTTATTCTCCCTTGCGCTTGAGTGGAGATATGATAGCGATATATAAAAGTCTTAATGGTGATTCTAGCATACGGAGCTATTCAGTCTCTGGGAGTGTAAGAAGTCACACAGTCACTCAATGAAATTGGAGGAGAATTGGTTTAACCTTAAACTGCATAGGGGGGGTTTCACTGTCAGAGCGGTAAGGATGTGGAACTCCGTTCCACAATTGGTAGCATCAGCGGAAGTATAGATAGTTTCAAAATACTCTTAGATAGGCATCTTAGCGAACACAGTATAAAGGGATTTAGAAAATGGTATTTGACATGAACACACAGCCCCACACAGGTTGAACTGGATGGACTGGTGTCTTTATTCAAGCTTACCAACTATGTTACTATGTAATGACCTTGAAACAGAGGTCATGGTACTTGCCTTATCAGTCTCTGATCCTTTGAAAATATATTCAAGCTAATATTTTCTCTGAGGGTTGATATATTGTTTTCTTTATTGAAGCTAAACACACTGGGGAGACCTAGGACACCAGTAGTAGGTTGAGGAACTCTCTATGGTGAGTAGTGGGTGGGCCTTGTGCTCTCTAGTATGGAGCTGTCCACTCCAGAACAATTGCTCAATGATGCCTCTAGTGTCCATATCATGTACAGTTGCAAGAAAAAGTATGTGAACCCCTTGGGATTACGTGGAGTTTTGCATGAATTGGGCATAAAATGTGCTCTGAACGTCATCTAAGTCACAACAATAGAAGAACACAGTCTGCTGTACACAAACATTAGACGTTATGGTTTAATTGCACATAACATGTAAACATTCATAGTGCGGGGAGGAAAAAGTATGTGAACCTTTGGACTTAATAACTGGTTGACCCTCCTTTGGCAGCAATAACTTCAACCAAACGTTTCCTGTAGAGTTGCAGATCAGACCTGCACAACGATCTGGAGTAATTTTGGAACTCCTCTTCACAAAACTGTTTCACTGTAGCAATATTCTTGGGATGTCTGGTGTGAATCGCTCTCTTAAGGTCATGCCACAGCATTTCAGTCGGATTGAGGTCAGGACTCTGACTGGGCCACTCCAGAAGGTCTATTCTGTGCTGTTGCAGCCATTTTTTTTGTTGAATTACTTGTATGCTTTGGGTCAATCACCCATCCTCTGCGGAGCTTCAGTTGGCGGACAGATGGTCGTACGTTTTCCTGCAAAATGTCTTGATAAACTCTGGAATTCATTTTCCCATCAATGACAACAATCCGTCCAGGCCCTGAGGCAGCAAAGCAGCCCCAAACCATGATGCTCCCTCCGCCATGTTTTACAGTGGGGATGAGGTTTTGATGTTGGTGTGCTGTGCCTTTTTTTCTCTACACATAGTGTTGTGTGTTCTTCCCAAACAACTCAATCTCGGTTTCATCTGTCCACAGTATATTTTGCCAGTAGTGCTGTGGAACATCCAGGTGCTCTTTTGCAAACTTCAAACGTGCTGCAATATTCTTTTTGGACAGCAATGGCTTCCTCCGTGGTGTCCTCCCATGTACTCCATTCTTGTTTAATGTTTTCTTTATTGTAGATGTGTCAACAAAAATGTTAGCATGTGCCAGAGATTTCTGTAGGTCTTTAGCTGACACTGTGGATTTTTCTTTACCTCATGCAGCATTCTGCGCTGTGCTCTTGCAGTAATTTTTACAGGACGACCACTCCTAGGGAGAGTAGCAACAGTGTTAAACTTTCTCCATTTGTAGACTTTCTGTTTTACCATGGACACATGAACATCAAGGCTTTTGGAGATACTTTTGTAACCCTTTCCAGCTTCATGCAAGTCAACAATTCTTGATCGTAGGTCTTCTGAGAGCTCTTTTATGCGAGGCATGGTTCACATCAGACAGTGCTTCTTGAAACCAGTAAACCCAAAACAGGTGTGTGTTTTTTAAGGGCAGGACAGCTGTCAGCAACACATCCAATATCATCACACTGATTGGAGTCAGGTTTGGCTCACTCCTGGCTCCAATTAGCTCTGGGAGAAGTCATTAAGCTAGGGCCTCACATACTTTTTCCTCCCTGCACTGTGAATGTTTACATGTTATGTGCAATTAAACCATGGCAACATCTAATGTTTGTGTAATATTATGTTCAGCAGACTGTGTTCTTCTATTGTTGTGACTTAGATGACTTTCAGAGTACATTTTATGCCCAATTCATACAAAACTCCACTTAATCCCAAGGGGTTCACATACTTTTTCTTGCAACTGTATACCAGACAATGCAGTCATTGTCCTTGCTGAATGGCTCTTTTGAAAAAAAGTAAGCCCCCTAGTAGGCCTAGGTTTTATTCAGTGAGATTAGTAAGTTACATAAAAAGGTAAAATAAAACATAGCAGTGCAACAGCAAAACAATTAAACACGACAAACTGACATTCATTATACTATGGGGGTCTTTTGGGATACAAGCAACCTACAGGGAAAAAACAAAATCCCAGTTCAAAGATATAGTAGAGGCTTCTCAGTGTTACATGATGCATGGGTCAAAAAAAGAAGCCTGCTAGTGCTAAATATTCGCTGCTGGACTGGCATATTCCTGAAAAGTGCAAACACAGAAACTGCAAAAGCTGGGGTTTCAAATATTAGGGAAGGCAAAAGGCAGGATATGGTGCAGTTTAGAATTGCTCTGATGTTGTGAAGCCACTTCCACAATAATGGCCATGGGTCTATCATTTTGTTTGCAGCAAGATGCTGGGAGATATAGAGGGAATGGTTTTTGTTTCACATATAATTTATTTATATTTAAGATATATAAGAGGGAAAATAATTAGGATATATTCCACAATGTACTACAACACAGTGCATATATATATATATACACTACATTACAATGCAGTGACCATCACACAATAAATTACATTCACTCAGCGGTATACCTTATATGTTGTGTAGGGCAAAGTTCCCCAAGCCATCACGTCATGTATGATGCCAATTTACCTCGAAAGCATTGTATGGCCCCTAAGATACCACCAAAGTGCCTAAAGGCACAATGTGCAAGTTAGACCCCTGAGTTAAACCCCTGTCTGGATGTCTAACGTGGCACCACAACGAAAACAAACAGTTTAAAAACTGAGCACCTAAAGTATATCCAAAGACAAAACATCACAGTGTGGAGAGGGGTTATGTAAGGAATGGACTCAGCACTGGTGGTGGGACTCACCTGCCGTGTGGGCTGCAGTACCAGGGCTGACCAGCGGGTGCTCTCAGCAGCCGGAAGCTCACTCCTGCAGTCAGCCAACACCTGGGGCTGATTGCAGGAGGTGTATTTAAGGAATGACCAAACCTGTGATCAGGGCCTTGGTGTATGTTTCCCATGAGCCCCTGTACCTGGTATCCTGTGTTCCTGCCTAGTTGCTGACCCTGCTTTGATCCTGACCTCTGCTGACCGTCTCCTTTGAACCCCTGGCTTGCCTTACCATCCTTCTGCCTGATCCTCTGTACCGCGCTGCCCGTGAGTTACTGAACCCGGCTTGTGACCCTGACTATTCTCTGCCTGCTCCTCTGGTACCTCACTGCCCGCATGTTGCTGACCTGGCCTGCCTGACTACGCCTGACGCTACCCAGACGATCCATCCATCCCGCACGGATCCAGTCACTACTGTCCAAACCTGCCAGCCCCTTCACATCAGGCTTCCCCTGGTACATACCCTCGGCGGACCCCTCTACCACAGTTGGGTGCACTCAGGGGCTGCGACCTGGTCTCAGTCCTGCGCCAAGTCCATCCCCACCATCAGGGGCTCTGGTGAAAAGGCAGACTGGGGCTTAGACTCCGCGCCCTGTTCTGTGGGTCACTAGAGATCCTGCCGGGCGGTGCCTGACAGTACCTTACGGCCCGCCTGTCCATTCCACCTCTCCAGCCCTGACTACGCCTGTGTTTCCTGAAGCCTGCTACTTCCCTGTGTCAGTCCACACATTTCTGGTCACACCCGGATCCCTGACAGGTTAGCAACCCTTTTAGTCTTTCATTGCTGTCTGTGCAAGGGAGGTCAACATTTTTTTTTCCTCCTGCTGGACACTGTCACCAGAACTGAATGTTAGGGGAAATTAAACATTTAACGTTGTCACCAGAACAGGAATACAGGGGAAATCTTCCAATAAAGACACTTCTTCCACTGCTCAGAAGATTTACGTTACTGAAGGTACAGTATTTTCTCTCACTTTCTTCTTGGTTTATCTAACAGAAACGAAGGGAAATTTCCAGAATGGGACCCAGACAGTGAAAAACCTGACAAAGGATTTAAACATTCATTGCTTTATGAAAAAAAAAAAAAAAACTTTTTGGCTTTAGAAATACTTTGTGTGTGATGGGTAAGGGTGACAGCTGGGCCTGCCAAGCCCTCGGCACCCATTTAGTTGTTTAGAGGATGATCCAGCCCTAACTGCAGGTATTTAGTTCAGAGAACAAGCTACAAGGCTTAAGACTAGATTTTCGAGATTCAGAGCAGTAAGTTATGCAAAGTACATAAGAAAAGCCCAGTTGAAGAGCATGCTTCTTATTCTTAATATACTTTTTATCTTTCGAAGCAGACTTTAGAATGCACATTTACAATTTGCTGAGTAGTTGATCCTTGTTATCTTCTTCAATATAATATGTCAGAACACTGCGCTGCAAATTCAAAACACTTTTACCGGCATTACAATGCCTATGAAAGACTATCTTGTATGAAAAATGACTTTTTGTATTGTGTCTGAACACAAGCAAATGATTGCTTTAGTCAGGACCAACCATTGAGGGCCAAGTATGCCGAATATGTGCCATTCTGCACTGCCAAATGCTATATCCAGAATGCTATTATGTCTTTTTATCTAGTCAGCGGGTGTAAACAGATACGATATAGCCAGATACAACAGAAGGCTGTTTTTTGGTATATCTATTAGATTAACAAAGAAATGTTTTATGTTGAATTTGCAGTGAGTGACAGTTTGAATTTAAAAAGGTAATCGTTGGAAGTATAATGGCTTAACTTTTTTGTTGTAGTCTTATGAATATCTCATGCCAGACTGTTTGATGTTTTCTGTAGACTGTTTTATGTACTAAGCAGTCAGGGATGTGGTGCATCAAGTTTATCATAATAATATGCCCACTGCACCTTCAACTACAGATGGCAATTTAGAAGAATAAGGATAATACACAAGTAAAAGACTTGAAGTTATTGTGAAGACTTGTGAATAGTACAGAACAATGTGTTTGAAGTACTCTATATTGTATGTGGCTGATTTCTCACTCTTCTACATGGATTCGTCACCAAGCATGAACTATAACCTGTTGCCTTAGGTTTGTTGGTCTAACCTTTTGAAGGACAATTGCTAGATTGTTCATCTCACTACACTGTGATCAAGTCTAGGCAGTTCTGGTTTGCATTTTTTAGACGTGTAGACCTTTTTTTATTAAAACAGTAAAAAGACTAAAGGCACATACTAAAGCAACCAAACAGAATTTAGACTCCTGCAGCCAGTTAAGAGATAATATACAATTTTAAGTGGGTAAGTTGTAAAAAAAAAAAAAAAAAATAAGAAACATACAGTCTAAATTATGAAAAAAATAATATATATATATATATATATATATATATATATATATATATATATATATATACACACACACACACACACACACACACACACACACAAACACCTCTATAAATGTGAACATAATATATAAATTTCTAATCACAAATACATTCAACTTAAAAAGCATGTATGTTGTGAGGGATTAGCTCACTAGCGGGTTGTGCTTGACGCCCTGGATGGGTCAGAACACCATAAAAAGAGGCTCAGCACGACAGTAGGTACTTGGTGAAATAAGTTTTGTGCTTTTATTTACAAAGTCCAGTGAACACACGGTGCATAAAAAAGACCAGCAAAACAAACATAACAGAAAATAAAGCCTGGCCACACTGGGCTACTAACTCCAACACACAGCTTTCCTATCTAGCAGTCTGTATGCAGCCTACCACTGCTCAAACCCAGGGTGTTCACACAGTTCCAAAATCACAGAGACTGTTTCTCACCATGGGTTGGTTTGGTTGCTCCCCAGTCTGTCTTACACAGCCAACTGGTTCCAGGATGGAGCAATCTCCCTATGCAGCCTGGGAGTTTTATAGAGCCCAGAGCCCTTAATGCACTACACCTGAGCTAATTATCCCACAGTGAGCCACACAGGCTCACCACACAACACAACAGGAAAACAGTCGGTGTAGAGCATGAACCTGGGACAAAATATACCTCCCATCCTGGACACATCCCTTAGTTCTTCCTGACTCCTGTCACAATGTATAGAAAAATCCAGTGCAAATCAATCTTTGACCCCTATATAACATAAATCGAAAATATTGCAGTGTCCACTGCAATCATATATAAAGTGCAAGTGATGTGACATCCAGCAGGTAGCAAAGTCCAGTATATATTCTTGCAACCTCCAAAACAACTCTAAGTGAAATTTTTCTATATTAGTGGCACCCTTTACAATCACCATACAGTGCTCATCCACCACCTAATAGCTTAAATCAGTGGTTCTCAACCTTCCTAATGCTGTGACCCTTTAATACAGTTCCTCATGTTGTGGTGACCCCCAACCATAAAATTATTTACCCAGTAATTATAATTCATGAGTGTCGTTTTACCTGCAATACTGCTGCTTTCAACACAGTAGCTGCTTTTAACAGAGTAGCTGCTTTCAACACAGCAGCTGCTTTCTACACAGTAGCTGCTCTTTACACATCGGAAATATGTGTTTTCTGATGGTCTTAGGGGACCCCTGTGAAAGGGTCGTTCGACCCCCAAAGGGGTCATGACCCACAGGTTGAGAACCACTGGCTGGCTTAAATGAACTCACCAGAGCAATATGCTGGTCAGGTAATAAACCAACGAAAGCGCCTGTTATCTCTTGGAGCTTGTAATCCTATCTCCAAAGGCTTCTTGGGACCAATATTTGGTAAAGAATTTGTAAACCGAGGCATTATTTTCAATTCATTTTCATTTGTAAACCAAAAATTACGTTAACCAAGCCATTCGTAAACCGGGGTTCACCTGTAGTTAAATAAAACCTGATCCTACTCACTGTATCCGTGGCACATATATGCCGAAGTTCTTGTTACCATAAAATATGCTTTAATCACTGTGCCATATCATGCAAGGGTCTAACAAACATGTACAAACCTCAGAGACTTCATTAACATAGTCAGTGAGTACTTTGCAACACTGTTGAAACAATAAACACTTTAGTCAGAAGTATGTAATGTACAACATAGTATAAGGGGTGCATGGTTCAGGAGTATATAATGTATTTAGAGTGAATTTTTAATGAGTATGTCATATACTGTATAGCCCAGCTAACAGAGTATAATGGTCAGATGTATGTCATATACAGTCCATCAGAGTTCAGTGGTCAGGCGTATGAAATCTATAGCATGGTGTATAGAATGCATGGTACAGAAGAGCATATTGATACAATGCAAAGCTGGGAGGGCATATCACACAGGAAGTAGGGCTCAGGAGTGAGTAATTGAAAGAGTACAAGGCTCAGCTGCACAAAGGGCTGGCTCAGGACAGTGTAAAACAGAGAATGTAGGGCTCAGAAGTGTGTAACGCACATAGTTCAGTGCTCATAAGGAGAAGAAAAGAAAAGAGGAACTTCCGTAGCGTGAAACCATACCAACTGTTTATTCCAATAAAAGCATAAAACCACTCGCATTGCTTAATGTCTCGACTAACACAAGTACACTGCTCAAATTACAGGAACACTTTTTAATCAGAGTATAGCATCAAGTCAGTTAAACTCCAGGATATTGATCTGGTCAGTTAAGTAGCAGAGGGGGTTGTTAATCAGTTTCAGCTGCTTTGGTGTAAATGAAATTAACAAATGTTGCACTAGATGGGCAACAATGAGATGATCCCCAAAACAGGAATGGTTTTACAGGTGGAGGCCACTGACATTTATTTCCCTACTCATCTTTTCTGACTGTTTTTCACTAGTTTTGCATTTGGCTAGGGTCAATGTCACTACTGGCAGCACAAGGCGATACCTGGACCCTATAGAGGTTGTACAGACAGTCCAACTCCTCCAGGATGGCACATCAATAGGTGCCATTGCCAGAAGGTTTGCTGTGTCTCCCAGCACAGTCTCAAGAGTATGGAGGAGATTCCAGGAGACAAGCAGTTACTCTAGGAGAGCTGGGCAGGGCCATAGAAGAAAGTGGTGTCCTGTTTCCATTTGCCAGATTGCTGATCAAAAGGACGGCATATTTTTTGCTGCAGGTGTGAAGAAGGCAACACCTTTTATTAATGCTTGGTGATATTCCTCATAAGACAAGGAGAACCTGTCAAAGATTACCTAGTCCTTTGGAGAGTGTATGGTAACTATATATACCATGTCCCTGGGCTTGTCCTGTGGAGAGTCATTGAAGGGGAGGAACACCCTAGGATAGCCAAAGGTGGACGTTCCAGCATATACTACCAAAATGCGCTTTTTGACCACCTTAACTGGGGTCAAATAGATTTGGTAAGTGAGAAATTCACTAATTATTCATTATCCAGCATGATATTTTTCCCCATTGAGATCTGATGTGTTTTCAAAGTGTTTCTTTAATTTTTTTGAGCAGTGTATAATTGCATGAGGTAGTGAATATAAGTCATCCCTGATTGTATCCCGAGATCGCAGGACTCTGTAGCTGTGCGTGGTGAGACCGTAGCTCTGTGGAAAAATGTGCCCTTCTAGCAAATGTGAGGTTATGAGTTTGAATCCCAGGTGG